CCCGCGGGCCGCCCCTGCCCGGCGCCCGCGGCGCCCTTTCGATGCTGCCCCCGAGCAGGGTCCGTCCCGGGGTGCCAAGTTTTCTCTTCCCACTTTTCCTTGCAAATGTGGCTCCACGTTAGAGGAAGAAGGAACATACTGGGAGTCACCGGCGCGAAACGTGGCTTAGTGGCAGGAAGAAATAAATGGGAGAGAAAAGACAGAGAAAAAAAATCAAGTCAATTCCAGTCTGAAACGGTTATTCGCAGACCGTCTCTCTCACCTGGGTCTGGGGAAATTTCTTACGTTATGAAAGCGCTTGCGCCTTCCTCAAGTGAGCTCATCCTGCCTGTACCCACCCCACGTCTTGCGCCGGAGACGAGCTACTGTCGCGGGCTGCGAGAAGGTTTCAAAGGGCGACTTATAGGGTGCCCTCGTGTGAATTTGGGGGGAAGAGAAACACTGAAAATCGGGGAAAATAGCAAAGGCTCAAATCTCGCCCCTGCAAGAAATAGGCTGTAAAAGCCGCAGGCAGCGTCGGCTGCCGTTAAGGCGCCATCGCACGCGGCTGCATTTGCCCGTGCAGGTGCAAGCGGCTCATCCGAGGCGCAAGGAAACTTGCTTCGTCCCTCGGCGGAGCCGGAGATGAGTCCAGACGGGGGGAGCCTGTCCTGCTCCCCAGAGATGGGAGCCACCCTCGCGCGGCAGCAGAGCTAACGCTAGTGCGAGTGTCTGGCCAAGCTCTCGCAAAATCCCCTTGCACTCTCCACTTTAATCCCCGGAGGGCAGCAATTAAACGTGACCCCGCTCCTTCCGCCAGGAGCGGCGGAGGCTCCTGCCCAGGGCTCTGCCCGCAGCGGGAGGGCAGGCGTCGCCCCCGACGAGGCCTCCGGTGCTGGGCCCACCTGCAAAACACGGCGCGACGTGGCGAGCCAAAGGGGGATCGGAGTAAGGGCGAGGCGAAGGGCTCCCACCTCTCACCTCTGCCCCTCCTGTGACAATCCGGAGGGGCACGGCCGAAGCGGAGCGACCCTGCCCCGTTTTCTTTTCACACGGGAAAAGCCGAGTCCAAGGCCTCGGGGCTCTGCCCCGGCCCGCGCTCACAGGGGCCGAAGCCCGGGCCCGGCCGCAGGCGGGCGCTTTCTGCTCTCCTCCGTCACTGTCCGTCGGAGGCTGCGGAGCTGCAGCGCAGCCAAGAGCTCACCTCGCTGCGGGCCGAACCGGGGCCGCCCC